CTTTATTTCAAAGATTGTGGAAATACGTACTCCAAGAAGATTATTTTCTCACAATTATGTGTCTTAAAGCTTTATGATCAATACATGAGTAAAGATTATCAAATATAATTTGGAATTTTATCGGAGAAATATTTGAGATATTCTGATATAATTTTGAAATTATGTGTTAAACAAATTAAACTTTGAGGCAAATTTTGTGAAATATATAAACTCCCTAGTAAAATAAGAAGTCTAGTACAAATTTCTAGATAATGCAATCTTAAATCCTTGCTCATGTTTATATAAATTGATGAATAATTTTGATTAGGCATTTCGAATATCCTATAAGCTTTTGGATTTTCACAAAAATATGAAGATTTTAAATGTTGTCTTTTTTTAAAGTAAAAACTATTGTCTGATCATAATCTTATAAACTTTCTTCAAGTAAAAACTATTGTCTTAAACTCTTACGATATTCATAAAGAAATCAAGACATTAAATAATAGATTTATCAAAGCGGAAGTGAAATATCGAAGGGCTAGTATTACAATAAAAATAACTTTCAGCGGCAACAAATAGACACACTAATAAAGAGCGCTAAAGTCTTTACCGATATTAGTTAAGTGTGTCATTAGATCTAATGTTACTAAAGTCTTTAGGGACATATACAAAAAATGATAATTGTCACTAAAAATACATATTTAACGGCAATTGCTAATTAATTACCTCTAAAACTCATTTTTTATGATGTTTAAGGCGATTAAATATATCACAAGAAGGTCAACATCATTTTTCGTTTGAAATACTTTGCCTCTTCCTACTTATTTTTTCATTAAATAAAGTAGTTGATCGATAAATGTGATAAATATGAATTAATCACAAAAGTGCTAAATCACTATTGTCATTATTTAGAGTAGTTGATTGATACATATGATACACATTAATCAACTATAAATACAAGTACCAACATTAACAAGAAAATCACAAGCATAACAAGAAAGAAAAAATAACTCAAACACAATGTCATCACAATATTATTACTTATTTATTTGCCTTTTCCTACTTAGTTTTTCATCATTGATCAATTCACAAGAAGATCAATTTGTTGTTGCAGTGGGTAATGATGCTTCAAAGACAGTGACCTTAGATTGTTCTCTAGAAGGAGTATCTGGTGGGGTCCTTTCGATAGAACCAAAAGAAGGTTATAGAATCGTAGCGCCCTATGATTCCAGCGAAGCTAATACCCTTTCTTGTGAGATAAAATTAGGCGAAAAACATGGAGTTTTCACGTTATTTGAGTCGAATAACACGAAAATATGTCACGATAAGGATGGAGATTGTGAGTGGAGAGTACGTGAAGATGGATTGTGCATGTTGGTTGCAAACAAATGTGTTGTGATGCTCAAATGGGATTCTAGTGCTACTCGTTACTCATTTAGAAAAATTACAAGTGAACCAATTAAATATGATGCACGTAACGCGATGCGCTATGTATCAAATAATCCTTAGTGGATATGTGTATCCATGAAAAATAATGTAGCATTTTCATGCATATGAAATTCTATAATAATATGGTACTAACTCTTTTAATTTTACTTCTATCTTTCTAAGTGAATATCTGGTTGAAAATCTTATAAAAAATACTTTATCACGCTACTCGTAGAAAATTCTTAAAAGCTTAAAGCGCGCGTGTCATAAATATATATATATACATGTGTTCTTTAAAATATATATTCAACAAATTCTTCTAGTATAAAACTAGGAGTATTCAAATTCTAAAATGAATTAATAGATGAAAAATCTAATTTATAAGTGAAGGAGTATTGTCTCTATTCTTCTATCCACAAAAGTGAAAATTGTTATGTTTTGTGGTAATAAAAGGGAATTAATTTTGAAGGGTTAATAAAAGATTAAAATGGTGTTTGACAATAAAGAATAAGTTTCAAATGTTAGTATAATTAGCCACTAAGGCAATTTAAGACCATTGAAAAATCTTTATTTCAAAGATTGTGGAAATACTCCAAGAATATTATTTTCTTTTTGAGATGTTCTGATATAATTTTGAAATATTTGTTTGACAAATTAAACTTGGGGAAATTTTTGTTAAATATACACACTTCAATTCCTAGTGAATAATAAGTCTAGTCCAAATTTCTATATAAGTCACCTAATGTGATTTTAGATCCTTTGCCATGCTTATTTATATAAATGGATTTTTAATACTGCGTAGTTATTTCATGTTGAATGCCTTGAATCGGACCCGCTACAAACAGAAAGGACGGGGGCCCTTAATTATCTGTCAATTCTGTATGTTGGGCCCAAGCCTGTTAGGGCGTAGCTTAGCACTATATATAGACGCTATGGCAAACCCTATATTGTAATTCTGTTTTTGCCTCTCCATAATAAAACTGCTCCCTCTCTTCCCGTGGACGTAGCCAATTTATTGGTGAACCACGTAAATCTGTTGTCTTGTTTTTCGCGTTTATATTTTCTCGTATTATCTCAAATTCCGCACAACATTTCAAATATATATATATATGTTATAAACTTTGGATTTTCAAAAAAATATGAAAATTTTAAATACTGTCTTTCTTAAAGTAAATAGCTACGGTCTCGATATCTCATAAACTATTAGGATATTTACGAAGAAATGAAAACATTAAATAATGCTTTCCTCCCAAAGTGGAAGTGAAGTATCGAAGGATTGTGTGATGTTCATGGCGATCAAATACATCACAAGAAGGTCTAACATTATTTTCCGTTTTAAAAAGAAGCTATTTATTATCCTCGAATAATAAAATAAATTAATTAAAAGAGAGAATCAAGAAAATATATAAAATTTGTACTCAAAAATCACGATCCTCATAAATAAAATATCTCACTTCTTTATTTATTTCGCGATTACAGTTTATTTTTCATATTTTAATAAAAATACTTATTGCAAATAGGATTGTATGACTTGTTGGTATGACTTGTTGATAAAGACCTTATACAAATATAGTATCAACAAAAAGAGATATATTATCACTATTATCATAAATGAAAGTAGTTGATAGATATACATATAACACACATTAATCACTATAAATATAAGCGCCAACGTCAACAAGAAAATCACAAAACTCACAATATGTCTTCTTCATCTCAATATCACTTAGTATTTTGCTTTTTCCTACTTAGTTTTTCATCATTGGTCAATTCAGATGATTATTTTATTATTATAGTAACTAATGAAACTAAATATACAGTGTATACAAGTTGTTCGGTAGATGGAAAACCTAAATATGATACTCCAATGGAACCAGGAGAGTCTTATCAAATGGCACCACGCTATGATCCCAAAGGAAATAATACCGTTTCTTGTGAGATGAAATTACGCGATAAACACGGAGTTTTCATGTTGTTTGACTCGAATGATGACAAAACTTGTCATACTACTAATGAAGCTTGTGAGTGGAGTATACGTGAAGATGGATTATGCATGTTGATTGAAGATAATTGTGTGATATTCAAATGGGATACTCCTACTCATTACTCATTTAGAAATATTGCAAGTGAACCCGTTAAATATGGCAATAAATAGTGAATATACATCCATGAAAGATGTATCATTTTCATCCCTATGAATATTCTATGATAATATGATACTATATTTTTGCTTTTAACTGATTACGTGTCTGATGACGATTTATAATAATATTTTAATCTATCTATTAAACTAATAACTAATAAGTCAAATTATTATACTTTAAAATTGAATCGAATAGATCAATGTACAACCTGATTCACGAGTTAATTTATATATATCGTGTATATTCATCAATCGTAATAATATGCTTTGTGGATTATGAAAGATTGACAATCATCATATTTCTATCTTTATATTTCAATAGTGAAAGAATGACGAATAATTACCTCTTTTTACTATTAATAAGAAGAATAATGTAAGCATAAACAATACCGCATGTGGAAAAATGTTAGATATTGAGTTTAAGAAATTTGAATTGATATAATTAGTTGTACAATATTTTATATCATTAAATAATTTGTATTTGATTATAATATTTTAAAAAGTATTAAAACAAAATAATATAACAGTAAGTGTGTTTAATTTAGGTCAATAAACATAATACGTTAACCCTAATTAAATTTGTTTGACCATTAGTTGAACAAAAACTAATAGTTTTTTTTTTATTAAGATGTGAAACTTTAACCATTGTAAAAAATAATATCCTTTCTCTTATTAAATTCCACTAAAATTTCCCCCTTTTAGCATAATTTATATCCTAATTTCCAAATAATTTATGTGAAAAAATTAATAAGTGTTCCAATAGTAAGTTCAATATTTTCTGTCATTCAAAATTTGGAGTCTGTACAGAATATAGATCGATAATATGAAAACTTTCAGAATAACACGTCAAATAAAAATTACTATAATAATTAGTTATCTATATAAGTTGAATTAAAACCCAAAAATTATGAACATAATATCTTGATATAGGTTAAATATTTATTGATACTATATATGTATATATATAATGTTGCATCTACATAAATTTGTGGATGTGTAAATCTTAAGATGGAATTTTTATGTTTGATGATTCATTTTTCCATTGGAAAAGAGAAAATCCACAAATATTTTCAAAAGGTTCTAAAAGTTTGCTGTGAGAATTAAAATTAATTTCCACACATATACTTAGACACTATAACAAATAAACAGTTTTAGCAACAATAATATAATTATCGCTACGAATACAATATTGTTTGTTTCTTACAAAATATCATTAACTCAATGATGTACACAAGAAACAAATACTTACTAAACATCATAAGTCAATTAAGCTTAGAAAAAACGAAAATGAATAGAATATCAACAAGTAAAATGTCTAAAATATCGCACGAATTAATCCAAACATCATAATTACTTTAAAAAAATCAAAATACATTAATCAAAACGATAAAATCCAAAAACTATAAAACCAACAATAACTTAAATACTATAATATAAAAAAAAAATGCAACTAGCCCATCATCCTAGAATTTGGCATCATCATCTTAGAATTACTTCCAAAATTCTTAGCCATATGAGGATTTTGTTTCATAAATTGTTTAAGCATATCTTGATTCTTAATCTCCTCACTTGATGGAAGTCCCATTTGTTTTTGTCTTTGATCAAACATCATTTTTTCAACTGCTGCTCTTGTTTCTGTGTCCAAATCAGACAATTTACTTGGTTCTGGCTCTACTTTTTGTGTGTCAATTTCTTCTCCACCTTTAAACAAACTTTTCCACCAATCACATTTGTTTTGTTTTGTTAAAAGAATTGATATCTCCTTTTGATCTTCTAAACTCCAATAACATTCATCAACTTTAACTCCCTTGAAATATTCACCATCTAATATGAGTGGTTGGTTTTTTAGTCCAACTTTGAGAGTATTGGCCTTGATTTCCACAATTATGAATCTTGATTTTGTACCTAAGGTAAATAAAATCGAAAATTTCGTTAGGGATATTCAGACACTTTTATTACATACGACAGTAATAAAAAATCAATTTAAAAGATAGTAATAGATTGTTACGATCAAAATTTAAACATGTGATCTGAAACATATTTTTAAATAAGCTATCTAAAACAATCCCTAGACGTACTAAAGAAATTCAAGGATACATATGTAGTCAGAGAAATTGATAATTTATTGTATATGATAATAGCAAAATCAACAATCCACGTAAAAGGATTTAAAAGGTACTAATGCATTGTCACGATCGAAATTTAAACAGATTTTTAAATAATCTATCTAAAGCAACCCTTAAACGTACTAAAGAGATTCAACAATTTATATATAGAAATTTATTATATATGACAATAACAAAATCAATAATCTATGTAAAAGAATTTAATAGGTACTAATACATTGTCACGATCGAAATTTAAATATGTGATCTGAAACGTATTTTTAAATAAGCTATCTAAAGCAATTCCTAAACGTATTGAAGGAATTCAACTATTTATATATAGTCATATATAGTCAAGAGAAATTTCTTTTCGCCTTATAAAACACTTAATAAATGAAATTATTATATACCTGGAGGAACTGGGACATTGATGGTAACTTCTTGAAGAGATTGTCCCCATGAATAATTCTCCATATCAAGTCCATTGGACTTATTTGGCTTAAGTTTCTCTTCTTTTGGGGTTGAAGATGAATTTTCTTCTTCTTTAAGGGCTAAAGTAGAAGAATTTTCTTGTTTTCAATAATCTCCATGCTTTGTTCTTGATTTTCTTCTTGATAATCTGAGAGAATTGCCATTATTGAAAAAAAAATATTAAACAATTTTTTATCACAAGTAGAAGAGAAAATTATGTGAATTGATGTGAGATTTGGGAGAATAATTGGGTGTATATATAGGGAAAAATAAAATTAAATCCGTTTTTGTTAAAGAATTAGAATCCTTAGTGTAGTGGGAAAATAAAGTCTTTAAAATTATTATTAACCGAATTAATTACCTTTTCTCCTAATTTTTATTTATTTATTTTTCTAGAATTTCGAATTAGTAAAAGGAAAGAAAAAGAAATATTTAGTGCGAATTAAATTTTATATTAAAAAAAGGTAAGTATTATATTTTTCATAGTAAACCGACTCAAGACTTCTTTTCCTAACTAATTAATTATTTAGGTAACTTTTATTTTTATTTTTATGTTACTTGTTAATCAAACGAGGGATGCAGTGAGATAAATAAAATTAATTTATTTTTTATATTGTTCGAGTCTTAAATGTTTAAAATATTCTCGTTAGATAATGATTTCCCTTAAATATATCTTAACCAAATAAAATTACTCTACTTTTTAATTATAAGATTCAGTTGAAGTCCTAAATATATAAATATTCCCATTAGATGATGGTTAATTTTCCTTAAATATGTCTTATAGGAAATAGGATTATTCAGTTTCTAAATACGAATATTAAATATTGAGCGAAAAAAATAATTAATAATGATAAATAGGAAAAATTATGTATTATTTCCACAATGTTTGACTCATTTAATTAATGGGAAAGAATTAGAAATGAGGGGCGAGACCTTTTTTCTTCTCGTTTAACGTTCGATTTTTATATTAAAATTTCTATTGATTTGAATTTGCGTGACATTAAATTTTTTTTAAAATATGATATATAATTAAGAATTAAAAAATTATATTTTTTAGGGTATAATTCAATCAATAACGAGTCTCACGGTATGTTAGTTGTTATTAACACTCAGATTTCCTTTTCTTTCTCTAATAATTTACTATAAATACACTGTTTTGTTTTTTAAATTTTAATTAACACACCAATTCACTAATTTTTTCCTATTTTAATTTACTAAAAAAATGGCAATTCTTTCAGACTATACTGAAGGTGAAAATCAATCACAAGCCAAAAAGGTTGTTGAAGAAGAAATTAAAAAAAATGAAAATCAAGAATCAATTAACACTTCTTCTTCTTCTTTAGATGAAAAAAAAGAAGAAAATAAAAAATTAAAGCCAAATCAATTTAATGGTCTTGATATGGAAAATTATACATGGGGACAAACTCTTCAAGATGTTACTATTAATGTCACAGTGCCACTTGGCACAAAATCAAGTTTTTTAGCTGTGGATATCAAGAACAATTCCATCAAAGTTGGACTCAAGAATCAACCACCAATTGTTGAAGGTATGTAATTAAATAATTTTGTTCTATATATATAAATATCGAAGCAGATTCAGAATTTAACATTTATTGAAAACGATATATGTTTAAGATATCGTATCAAAATAATGGGATCAGATGAATTCACAACTTTTTATAAACTAGATCTGCTATAAGATAACATGAAATAAAATTGTCACACTTTCTAAAATACAGATGAGTTTTGAATCACAACTAACCAGTCAAATTTACTATATCAAAAAGCGTATACATAAATTATACAAAGTTATACGAACATTATACATATGTTGTTTATTTTTAGTTTAAACAGATAGTTGAGTCGGTATTTTGATTGATTTTTTTTCACATATATATGTTTGTACTTCCTGTCAAGTTAAACTAGTATATGCTTTAGACACATTTACTTGCAACTTGCAATAATTTTGTATTTCTCAAAACAATATACGAGTAATATCTCTTACTTTGTATTTCTCGAAACAATATACGAGTAATATTTCTTTAAAGACCGGTTTATTTTGGTAACAAGGTGAACTATTGGAGGCTGTGAAAGGTGATGAATGTTTTTGGAGTTTAGAAGACAAAAAGCAAGTAACAATTCTCATGACTAAAAGGAATCAATCTGATTGGTGGAAAAGTTTGTTCAAAAATGGGCCTGAAATTGACACACAAAAAGCTGAGCCAGAGCCCAGTAGGCTATCCGAATTGGACTTAGAAACAAGATCAGCAGTTGAAAAAATGATGTTTGATCAAAAACAAAAGCAAAAAGGGTTACCAACAAGTGATGAGATACAAAATCAAGATCAAATCAAGAAGATTATGGAAGAAAATCCTGAGATTGCTAAACATTTTGCTAATTCACCTGCTAATGCTAATGGTAAAGGTGGAATGTCTAATATTAGGATGATGTCAAGTGGCGGCGGAATGATGCGTTAAGTGAAAACTTGATGACAAGTCGAACTATTTACAGGTCTTGTTTTTACTGTTATATCAGAAGTTACTTTATGTTTTAGTTCTTTCTTGTTGTATTGTTTTTCGAGTTTGTGGGATTTGAATTATGTTAGCAAGCAATTTTCCTAGTTTTAATTGTTGAAACATGATATATAATCACAATGTACGAGTTTGCAAGTGATTTATTTGTTGAAAATGAGTCGAACCATTAATATGTCTTGTTTTTATTGTTACATCAAGAGTTACTTTATGTTTAAGTTCTTTCTTTTTCTATTTTTTTTTCGAGTTCTTATGATCCCAAATGTTTGGAAGAAATTTTCCTAGTTTTAATTGTTAAAACATGATATATTTATAATGTGTGTTGACAAGCAATTTATTTGTTGGAATTGAACCAATCCACTTACATGTTTCGATTTTACTTTCATATCAAAAGTTAATTAAATCACGTATTGCTTGACATAAATATAAATTGTGAATTTATTTATCTTTAATCGATTCCTTGTCACGATTTGATAAGCCTATACTAAACTATACTATTCTTTTTTTTTTCTTCATGTCTATGTTTTTTACTATTGATTTTGGGGGCGGTCTAATTAGAATTAAACATTTCTTATTCATTTTTCAATAATCAATATGTAATTAACTATTGATATTAAATTGAAAAAACAATAAATCAACTCATCATGCCTTGAGATAAGTTTAAACTTATACTTTATTTCCATAATGTAATCGATGATATACGTAAAAAGTCCGAAAATAAATTACTTACAAGACTTCTTTTTCTTGTCTTAACATGATTTTATTAATTCAGAATTTGCAGCTTTAATTAATAATAAAAAAAAGTGAACATCAAATTCAGTTATAAAAAATTCCCAGCCACCAAAAAGTAGTAATTGTTAAAAAAATAAAAATTTAGAAGATCAATATTAATAAAAATAAAATACTATAAGGGCAATAAAGTCATTTCACTATGTGATTCCTCTTCAGCTCCTTGGAATCTTTTGTAAACTGATCTCTGCTCATTGAACAGTAAAGAAAGAAATGATTTTGACACAGTTGAACTACTAACTGCAGAAATCAATCCCCACAATCAAAACCTTAAAAACTCAATTTCCCTTCATATTTCTCCACAAAAAGATTTCCCCTCTATCACACTACTTTACTTTTCCCAATTCAAGAAACCTATTATTGGTTTAAAGGTCAGTTGTTTTGATATATATATGGTCTATAACAATGTTCTTTCTTGATTTTGTATGGGTATTTGCTAAAAAGTTGTGATTTTGGGTATACCCTTTAGCTTTTCTTGGACAAATTTTGAGTTGTTTGTAGTGTTGATTGATTTTATTTGGATTTGTGGTAAAGAGCTGAAATTTGGGTTTTGGGTATTTGAGTTGTTGTGTATGTGATGCTTGAGCTGCTTAGAGTTTGTTGATTTGAGTAGTGGAGTTAGTTTTATTTGATGAAAGTATGTTGGTTGAGAAAATGAGTGATTTTTAGTATACCCATTAGCTAATCTTGGACAAATTTTGAGTTATTTGAAGTATTGATTGATTTTATTTGAGTTTGTGTAAAGAGCTGAAAATTTGGGGTTTTGGGTGTTTGAGTTGTTGTGTATCTGATTCTTGAGCTGCTTGAAGTTTGTTGATTTGAGTTGAGTAGTGGAGTTAGCTTTGTTTGATGATGCCACTACCAAGAAGGAAAAAGTTTGTTGGTTGAGAAAAGGAGTGATCTTTGGTATTCCCTTTAGTTTTTCTTGGAAATTTGGGTTATTTGTAGTGTTGATTGATATTTGTTGGATTTGTGGTAAAGAGCTGAAATTTGGGTTTTTGGGTATTTGAGCTGTTGTGTATGTGATTCTTGAGCTGCTTAAACTTTGTTGATTTTGAGTAGTGGAGTGTAGTTGTATTTGATGATGCCACAACCTAGAAGAAAAAAGTGGACTGAGGCAGAAGAAAGAACTCTGATTGATAAGTATGGTGAGATGTTATGTGATGGGACTTTAGCTAAAATGAAAACTAGGGAAAAGAAGTATAGACCTATAGCTTTACATGTGAATTCTGTGCACAATGTTCGTGATCCGATCACGTATCCATGGCAATGGACTTGGAAGGATGTGTCTACTAAAGTGCAGAACATGAGGCATCAGTATACACTGGTGAAGCAGAAGATTAAGAAGCCAAACTCTGGGGAGGAGTCGGGTGCTGGGGAGGAGTTCGATTGGATGGAGGGGCTGACTCATTGGTCGAACTTTTTAAGGTATAAAGAAGTGTTTGGGGATGTCAATACACTTGTCTTCAATTGTAGCGACTCCATGGCTGTTGTAGGAGATGGAAATGAAAATAGTGGGGGATTTGATGGGAGTGGTAATGGTATGGGGATTGATCAATTTGGGCATCTAGGTCATGCTGGGGACGGTGATTTTAATGGAGTTATTAATGGGATTGATCATGGTGTTACAGGTATGGAGTTTGATTATGATGGAGAAGAAGGAGAGGAGAATTTCAATGGTAGTATCAGGAGGAATAATCATTTGAAGGAAGATGCGGATAGTGGATTTGTTTACGAAGACATCGAGCCAACTGGATCTGATACGAGAAAAAAGAAGAAACTAAAAGGGGTGGAGAAGAGGGCATGGGGTTTTCTTGCAGCACAGTTGGCACAGTTAAAGGAAATGGAAGCTCGGTTTGAGCAGCGTGAGGCTGAGAGGGAGCGGGAGCGGCAGAGGAGAGAACATCTTAGAATAGAACTTGAACAAGAACGTGAGAGAAAATGGGAAGAAAGAGAAAGAGAGAGGGAGGAAAGGGAGAAAGCAAGGGAGAAGCTGCAGAGACAGAGAATTCAAGAATGGGAAGCAATGGAGAAGGAAAGCGAGGAGAGAGAGAGGAGGAGACGAGAGGAACAGCTTATATTTGAGAGAGAACGTGAAGAAAGAATGCACAAGAGGAGGTCAGATTGGAAGAAGAGGATTGACGAGACGGTAGGTCAGCATCGAGTTGAAATGAGCCAGGTCCAGACTCGGATACTTCACGAACAACAAAATCTTACTAGTCAGCTTCTTGGAATTTTTTCTCAGTGGACTGGTCATCCAACGGGGCTTTCTGATCACACAGGAGCTAGCAACCATTATCTTTCACAAATGATGCAAAATTTGCACCATGTCAATGGTATGGTTCATGGTGATGCAAGGGTTGTAGATGATGCTCAAGAAGACCAATTTATCGTTGATGGATAAATAAAAGCAAGCTCCTTTTAGTATTTACATCGATCACCTGAATAGGGAAGGTGCATGTACCTTGCAAGGCATGAACAAGTGTAAAGGTCAGTAACTTGTAATTGTATTATTTGATATTAGGTTTCTACTCAGTGCTTATGTATTTGAATAATGTTTCTTATATCCCCTTTTTAATGTAGCCAATATAGAATGTAGAGTTCTTGGCCTTTTAAGTTTTTATGTCGCCATTGTTCAATAAAATATTTTGATATATTTATATAATACCATCATTTTTTAGTGAACTTTCTTATTTGGTTGTTGTTGTTGACTGGTTCACAAGTAGAATGTAGTGTGCATTTCCAGCACTACCCTTGGTTCCGAAAGTGTCTCTACACGTCTATTTAGGTGGTAGCTTTATCTGTTTTTTCTGATTAGTGGAACATATGTTATCTTGACGAGAACTCCATATTTATCACATTTTCTATGAAATCTCTGAATGTACTCCTTAGTTATCACCAAATGGCTCTTAGGCCAAAAATGATGTCAAAAGATGAAACTAAACAACTATTTTAGATAATCACTAATTACCAAGTGAGGTCCATCAAAATCTCGCATTGAAATAGGATTAAAATGTTTGGTCTTGCACCAAAAATATATGCTGGTGATCCAAGACTTGAAGAGTTTAACATTCATTTCTGTCGTCATATTATAAGTTTATGCTCTTATTTCCAGGCTATTACCATAAAAATTGACAATACATGTTGAATTGCACTTAGAACCTATGTGTTGGAAATCTTCTAGAATACCGCAGTGTGTGCTGGATCATCCAAAAGTAGTCATTTTTGGAGAATCCGACACGGATGTGGCAGCAATTCTGAAGAATCTGAGCAACAGAACTCACAAGTATCAATTTGATGTCTTCAAGATTCCACATGACATACACAACTCATAATGCATTAAAATGATCAAAGTAAATTATCTTTAAAACATTAGTTTACTTATCTATTATAAATACAACAATAACTTGAACCAACCAACTGTACAAAGTAACAAGAGAATCTCGATACAGGCAATGACCTGTATACACAAGGAAATGCTAGTCTAGAACAACAAAATTTCAGTTCTTTTCTCATATAATTTGTATATATAGTTCGAAGAAGCATGTCAATTGGATATTGGTTTCCACACTGTTAAATCTTTCGAAAGCCAAAATAACAATAAGAATGATATAGAAATGTCCTCTTAGTATAGCATTGGCTTCAACAAATACCATCACACCTCATTTTTGCTTTCTGTTTTATCCAATGAGAAATGCTTCTATCTTCCTTCTTCATGAGTATCTCCATCTTCCCTGTGCTCTCGTGATGATGCAATTACCAATCAAAACCCTACACCATTTGCTTCAAACCTCAACTGTAACTTTTGTGGTTTTACTTTCTTGCTTACAATCCATATCTGTTGTTGGAACGATAACAGGTAATGGTATGGATGGATTGTTCCCCATGTCCTTTGTTTTGTGAAGGAGAAAAGTACCACAGAGGATAGTTACAAAACCACATAACTCTGTAATTATCTGTGTCGCATTCTGATGAACATAGTCCTGAATCCCAAAACATATAACCAAATTAGAGAAGTGTGGAGTTACAACATTCCGATCAAATGAAAACACGAGAACAATACAGTATATACTCATTAGGAAATAGATAAGCTGATGATTCAATTAGAGTTCATCTTCCTAACATTTTGATCACAATAAAGTTGCATGGACTCTTCACTTTCAATGAGGCACCCGTGTCAGATTCTTCAAAAACACACTACTTTTGGAGAATCCGACATGCACCCGTTGACATTTTTGAAGAGTCTTAAGCAACATAGCAAATCCTTTGTCATGCTTCTTGAAAAGTAATCTAACTTTGTTTTCTCTCAAACATCATTTGTTTCCCTTTATCCAGTTATCCTCAGTAATGTTTCATTACTGCAACTACAAATGACCAATCCATGTGAACTCGAAGAAATGAAAACTGATAAAACTAGAAATTCTGAATAGACATAACCACAAAACTTAATGTTGAATCACCTTAAACATTATCATGCTTGCAAGAATGGTCAGTGTTGTAAACATGACATAGTATATCGGGGAAACCACAGCAGTGTTAAATGTGTCAAGTGCCTGCAGAACATACAATAGTCATGTTAACATTTATATTTGCAAAAAAAAACAAGTATCAAGTAAGATGAGAAGACATAAATTTGAGATTGAGACGTAGTTGATCAATTGATATGGTTTAGAGAAATTATGTAAAAATGGCACTAGATGAGAGGTCTGACTAACTTATCCAAACCAAATCAACATATCAGAAAACCAATTTTACTTGGAATACTAAAATTATAAGGGAAGGCAATGTGAGTACCTTGTTCAAATAATTCAGCTGCAAAAGGCAAAAGATGAGGACAAGCACTATAAAAACCCATGTCTCAAAATACTTGAATTGATTTTGCCCTCCAATTGTGAGCTTTATAGCAATTCCTATTGCTTTGACACCCATAACCTGAATAACCACAAGAAAACAACCTTGAGATAAGATGTATGAAATGTACACATGGAGCAGTGGACTACTACAGTACATGAAAGAGAATAACAGACCGTGAGAGAACCCGCAAGTGAACAGATCCCGATGTAGACAACCAAATAAGACTGCCCAAAACGAGGCACATACCGGACAATAAGGATAAGTATCAGCACCAAAACTGTGAAAGTGTAGGCGAGGAAACCTGTTCTTGTCAAAAACCTTTTGGTTAGTTAACGTAAACAAAGCATGTTGGAAAATAGCTTCTGGTTTGTAATTTGTAAATCCATCACTTCACTATACTTATTTGCAGAAGATTTGTTTGTTATGTTAGTGTTCAGATAGGTAAATCTAGAGTTAGAAAGTCGATGGGTTCAAAATGGTGTGGTCTTGTTAGATCTATACGTTTTTTCGAAAAGATTTCATATGTATACATAAATTAAAAATGACGACATTTGGTAGAAAGTGCAATTAGCACTGATTGAGCATAAAATGAGAGAAGGTCCTTGTCCTACATCGACCTGCATATGCATCAGGCCTGTAGGTGTGAAATTATGGTGAGTGAAGGTGTTAAAAGAAGACGAGTTGTTGGGATAGATGCGATGGAAGAAGAAGATCCATATAACTGGTATCTACTAATGGAATAGGATTCAGTTTTGTTAGAGAGCTTCTAATATTATAAATTTTACTATTATTATTCATATATTTAACTCATTTTACCCTTTAATTTTATTTGGTATGCTGATGACATTAGTGAACTTATATGGAGAAGTGAGGATTCATATAGTCGACCCAATTTGTTTAGGATTGAGGTGTAGTAGTACATAGTGTTGTAGTCCAAACCAAAAGTGACCGGTTCAATTGAACCGGCAGAACCCGTCCTAGACTCGCCTCTGCGAATAATGGAAGAATGTAACTGGCAATCAACTTGAATATACCTGGCGCTGTTGCTAGGTACCAAACATCCTTGACAGATTGAATACTCTTCTCTAATGGGGCATGTAAGACGATAGTGACGGATCCAACCACGCAGAGGAGACAACCAACTATACCAAACATATGCAACCTCTCCTTCAAAATAAAATGGGCTAACACTGCACTGCACATGAAAGTTATATCAGTATTGAAATATAGAGTTATGTGTTCGGACTCTTCATACATGTTGCTGGATCCTTTAAAATTAGTGTATTTTGGAGGATCTAACACAGGTGCGGCAGCAGGATGAGCTTGTTTGATTAACATCTCTACACAATGATGCTACATAACGACGTACCTGACAATCATACTTAAAGCCCCTAAAGGTGTCACAAGTACTGCTGGGGCATATGCATAAGCTGCAAAGTTAGCTCCCTCTCCAACAATCACTACAAGAAGTTGGAAGAATAGCGTTAAATAAAACCATCAGTATTTCACAGATAAGTTCATATATCAGACTCTTTAAGACAACTTATCCATGAGTTTTTTCATGATATTCTGTGTTTTTTCTTCTTCCTAAGGCATGTTTCATAATACATGTAGGTTTTCTCAGACATACAACAACTACAGTGTAATCCCGAGCAAGTTGGAATTGGCTATCCGTTCAATGTATTCATGCTAATAGTTGTAAGAATGAGTTATATGACTCTTACTAGATAACATTCCAGCCCACCAACAAGGTTCCAACAAGTAGGAATGGCCTCCTGAACCTGTTCAACATTCAACATAATTGGTAAGTCATAATAACAGGGCAAATTTGCCTGACCTCAGCAACCAAAAGAAGCCTGCAGTGTAGTATTCTAGTTAAACTACCTTTGAATGTCTAGTACCAGACTTATAATAGTATTTTGGTAGAATGTCTGCGTGTATATTTAGTTGGGTGAATGGACTGGTGATCTGCTTATAGACTTGGGGAATCTTCCCCTCGACCCCTCACGAGCTAGCTTTTGGGGTTGCATATCATTGTCCAGCTAACCAAACTAAACTATATGTATTTAAACCATATATGAAGTATACCTTATGGGAAATTTGAAGGAATGAAGGTTATTACTAGTATGTTAAACTCATGCTTATGTAACTTTGAGCATTAACACATAAAAAGGGGCAGCGCGGTGCACTATATTCTCCGGCTATAACTAGGGACATTGAACTTGCATTTTTGCGAGAGACTATTTAAATGGCTAGAGACAAAGGCACGTTGCCATAATGGACATAAATTAACGACTATATACAAAGTTAGCCATGTGTCACGATTCTCTGAATACAAAAGTCTGGTATTTAAGGGGAGAAAGATGCAAGCCTATTATTCATCGAGTTTTTGAATCATAGCGCGAGAAAAAGAATAAACCTGCTCTTTTTCCATTTGCACCAGCCTTCTTTAGACCTTGTTTTTTAATAACAAAGCTGGAACCAATAAAAATACTGGATGATATTGCTAATATAACTCCATGAACATTATTAGATACCCCCTCCATTTAATTAAAAATGGAGAGGAATAATAATAAGATAATAATTCTTGATATTCAAAAGCCAATTCTTTCCAACAAATAAAAAAAAACCTGCATATCAAAAAACCAAATTAATAATTACTTACAAGAAAAGTAATTACAAAGCACTAAAAAAAAAAAAGAAGAACTCAAACCTTATTCTTGATAAATATCCAAGAAAATATAAAATTTGGTAAATTTATGATAAAGAATGGATTCTTTTAAGTTATATTGCTAAAATATATCCTTTTCAATATTTTTCAACTTTTCTTTGATGAGTTTATTTTGTTTGTAAGAAATTATGAAAAAGGAAAAATGTTTCTTTTTGCGTTTTTCCGCTCTCTTTCTCTCTCCTCTTTCTGCATAAAATTGCAGAAACGAGAAGAGAAAGAGAGGGAAGAAAGAAAAAAAAAAGAGATGATATCTTTTTTGCTTAGAGAAAAAAATTAATTAGTCATTTTATGTGAATTTTAGAAGAATTTCGAAAAAAAATTGCTTCAAGTTAACATTAGCCACTTATTTGATCGATTTTGCTCCTATAATATTGCATGTGTTTTTTGTCACCTTCAATTTTAGAAGAAATAAATTTAAAATTCCCCTATATAAAGGATTAAGGATTATTTATATTTCTAATTTGTAGATTTCTATAGATGTATAGTTTATTCAAATTTAAATTCATAGTTAAAATAAAAAAGTTTTTGACTCTAACTAACACACTTTGTTTGAATGGGTTTGTGAATTGCCTTGTAATTTATCATATCATAACATATTATGTTTATATTGTATCATACGATATTATTTTAAAAAATATAACGTTTGATAAATTGTATCATTTCTTGTCATCACATAATATTATATACTCATAATTTGAATGATCAATCTATAAGAAAACGAAAGATATGAGATAAATTTATTATGAAAAATGTGATCACACAACATTGGTATATAAAAATATATCACAATTAGTAACAATCAAAACGAACATAATATTTGTTCTACCAAACAATGATAATAATCATCCAAACAAGATATAATTACGTACCACATAAATCGAGAAAAAATGAGTAGTTTTTTTTAACTATCAAACAAAGAATTCATATTAATTAAACTAATTAGCTATAACTATACTTAATAGTCCATTAAACATCAACTTTTGTAATTAGTAAAACTAATTAGACTAGATTAGAATTTAAACAGTTAGTTTTTTTTTTCTGGTCTAATCAGTCATCACACTCTACCAGCCGCACGCCGCCGCCGCCGCGGCGTCTCCAAGTAAAGTCGAAGTAGAATCATCAACAATGAAACGCCGAACTCTACCTGAGTCGGCCATCGGTAATCGAAATCTTGTACTCCAAGAGAAATAGAAAGTGAGCAGAGTCCGTACAAAATCCCCAAATCAGTACTAACGGCCCTCGTCCACACGATCATCAGCGAACAGAAAAAGCCTATGGCAGTGGCGGAGACAGAGTGGAATGCAGATAATCGAGGAATGTTGAGATATTCTTCCTTCAGAAGCTCGAGTATAATCGGAGAGACCATCAGTCCTATTCCGTCGAAGGCGGAAGTAAAGCGAGGCATAGTCATCACTGCCGGAAAAGGATTTCTATCGCGAAGGACCGATATGAGTCCGGTTAGAAGTAGCGGCATTGCTACGGTAGAAACGAACCACAACGCATGGATGCGAATAACAGCCATGGCTAGGAGAAAGAAAACCAACGCGAAAAACGACCAGATCTTTTGCTCTGTTCTCATTTTCTGCTAGTGTTTAGAGAAATAGAAGGGAGTAGAAATGTGATCGGAACTAAGCGAACTCTCAAAACTCCGTCGGCGCAGCTCCGGCCTCTTCCCGGTTGCCGATTGCGCGGCGCCGATTGAGGAAGAAGGGATTGCTTTGCTTATTGAGACTGGGACCCCCAATTCCTGTGCCGATTATGCCCATGAAGTAAAACAGTGCCCGTGTTTTTCCTAATTTACCCTCTAGTTTTATTTTATTTTTATATAACTAGAGTTAGTAAAAATTAAATCAATGATGAAACTGAATAGAAAAAAATGTTATTAATTATATGTATAGTGACAGAGTTAGAATTTTGATCAAGGAATATCAAAATATAAAGTAAGAAAATTAAAATATAAAGAAGCAAAAATTATATATATATATATATATATCTTAATTTCCGACGAATATACCCCTCAAGTGTACTTGGGTATATGTGGATATATCCACCGCAGCTTGTACAGTTCTTTACATGTTAGCTATTATTCTTTCATCTTTATGAATTTTCTAATTGTATTATTATCTTGTTCGCATCAAATTATTAGAAAAGTCACACATTTATAATATGAGTTGGTTAAGAGCTCGTTTAGGAAGACTTAAAAAAAACAGTTTTTAAGTCAAAAAAATAAAATAAATTGAAATAACTTATTTTAACTCTTTTTTTTAATTTTGTCAAACACATCTTAACGTATTTTAAGTTATTTTTTATATTTGTCAAAAAAAATTTAGAAATTAAAAAAACTGCCTTAAATTAAATTTGATCAACCTTTAAGCCAACTCAAATTAACTCTATATTTCATTATTAATTTACACATTTAAAATCAAATTGATAAATCAATGTATACGTCGAATCAAACCGACTAAAAATTAGGTGTTGGTTGGTGGACTAGTGCGGTACTCACTACTGAGTGTGTCTTCCACTATAAAAATAAAATAATTTTTTTTTTAAAAAAAAAAACACGATAAAAAGTAGTAGAAATAATAGAACCAAATGTACCAATCCACACACAAAAAAAAAAATGGAAGCTCCAAATTTCACAAAATTGTTCTATTTCTTGACATTTTTTGTTACCATTTTATTTATAATTACATGTGTTAATACCCAATCCCAATGCAATGATACAATAGCTAAGTGTAATGATGAAGATATGGAGTTTTTAATGGAATCTGAAATTAGCAAAAGATTTCTTGCAGAAAGAAAAAAATATATATCTCCTGGTGCTCTGAAAAGAGATCAACCGGTTTGTAACGGCGGCGGAAGCGGCCAACCGTATTCGCGGAGCTGCCTTCCGCCGCCGTCAAATCCGTATAATAGAGGTTGTTCTAAGTATTATCGATGTAGAGGTGATCAATAGTGAATGAGCATATGAATTTTATGTTTTTCATTTGTGTCTAATTATTATGATGTTATATTGTTGTGTTTTTTTGAATGAATTTTGCTTTTTTTTTTGGTGTTATTTGGATCAGTTCTCGATTTGTACGTGTTATTTTTGTGTATGGAGTATATTAATTTTTTTTGTATCGTTTCAATTTTATTATATGTTCCTGAATTGATGTTTCGATGGCTAGATCATGCATCTTCAAACGACCCCTTTGGACTAAGGTTGAAATTGCACTTTCAGAATAAAAATCACTCGTATTTTGCTAGTGTTTGACCATAAATTTTTAAATATTTTTGGCAAATATTATTTAAGTGAAAAATTTGGGTGAAATTCCACTATGCGTTTGACTATAAAATTTAGGAAGTATATTTCACTTTTTTAGAAAAATATGATTTATACACTCATAAGTGTTAAAAACTATTAAAACTAACTATAAAAATTTGTATTACAAGTCAATTGGATGGTAATTTGAAGTGAGTGCAACAAGCATCATTCCATACATCGTGACGTAGACAAAGCATGTAACTTTGTGGTTCCATACATCATGACGTAGACAAAGCATGTGACTTTGTGGTTCCATACATCGTGACGTAGACAAAACATGTGACTTTGTGGTTTCATATATCATGACACAGACAAAGCATGTGACTTTGTGGTAAAATGACAAATATACCATTTGTATATTGCTCAAAATTATGGTAATACCATTAATTTTAAATTGTACGAATTAAATAACTAATTCACAATATACTTTTATTTAGTTCAAAGTTTTGATCTCTGTTTATTAAGCTTTGGAGTGTACTGTTTTCCTCATTTTATGAGGGGTTAGGATTAGAAAAAGGTATAATACATAAACATGTGTTATTTAAATTTGGTCTTAGTTAAATTTTCTAATTTATAAAATGATTATTTAGACTCTTTCAGTAATTATATATTACATCAATGTAGAATATTCACGAGATATGGTGAAACCAAGTTAGTGTGTTTAACTGTTAATCAAAGCTAAATTAAAATATTTAGATGTATACTTTCACAAGAAGGTTAACCAAAATGAAAGGGAAGTTTCCCCAATAATTTGTTTCTTAGTTATGTCTCATTCACTTTTACTTTTTTTAAAAAAATATATATATTTGAATTTGAAATACCACTAATATATTATTGGGACTTCTTTTATATTTGTCCCTTATTATTGGGTATGCATAAATGCCCACTTAAATTTATATAAATTTTGACAAATAATATTATTATCATGTTTAGTAGTTGATTAAATGAGTTTATGCATATATAAATTTGTACGAAGTAATATCATATTTGATAACTGATTCCAAAAAAAGGAAGAAGATTCCTCTCCATTACTAAAAATCAATAAATTACAGAGTTCAATTTCTTACAATGTTCTATAGCATTGTAGGTTAATCAAAGAGACACTATATTCACTATACATTGAAAAACTTGATTCAATTTTTTAAACTAAGCTTAGTGCAACTCAAAATATTACACCACTATACAATGGAAAATTTGGTTACATAAATTAAACAAAAATTTCTATAGAAGCTACTGCTATCGAAGATCGATGCTCCATAGATCCTATAATAGTAAACATTCTACTACATCCATCTTCCCATCTTCATTGCCATCATTTTCCTCTTCTTGTGTGCTTTATGCTTTTCTGAGATCCGCAGCTTTCTCTTGGCGTTTCTCATTGGATTGACGACAGCAATGACCTTCTCTTCTTGTTTCCTCTTATCCCTCTTCGATTTGATATTCTTCCTTATATGACTGTAGATTTGGACAAAAATATGTGTTCCTATAACATTGCTTATGCTCCCCCGCACTCCTTCAGCCAGTTGTTTCACGTCGTCTGTGGAGATGATGTAAACATAATCATCAAATATATCAAGGACGACAAAGTTTAATCACTCGGAAGCCAAAGAGGAAGTGAAGAACATTTGTAAATAAGATAGTATGGACAGACACTTGAAACAGCAAGTTTGCAAGAGATTGAATGAGACCATACCTGATATAACTTTTCCGGCAAATCCTTCACAAACTTTGTACAGGGGCAACAGCATATGATATGCAAAGCTTTGGCAATCAACCTCACCTTCAGGGGACAACAATCTACTCTGATCTATAAGCTTTGGTGAAACTGATTTGAAACAATTGAAGATAATTCTCATCTGCAAAAAAATGTGCACATTCCACAGCATGAGAACAGGCACTCCTAGAGCACTATATATGGGAGAGTAAGACCCAAAATATTTTATTTGGAAAAACAGCGAGAAAGTAAATTACATAGCAATGACTAGGCTATGAATTATTTTGCGAGTTGAGCAAACAGAGATACCCTTATATAATTACCCACCTGCATATCCTCCACATGAAGGGAAATCTTTCCCATTGTCTTAAGCAAATAAGAAATGACCAAGTAGCGCTGGCCTTCATCTTCTTGATCACTAAGGTCAGACACAAGAGACAAATAGATGTTTTTCCCTTTCCTTGAATCAAGCTGTTGAAAAGCCTTAAGTAGAAGACCCTGCTCGTCATGTTCAATGGTGGACCAGAACTTATCTTTACATTCAGTTTTTCCTAAGAATGAATGCAGAGAGCAAATTGAAAATACAAGATTTTGAGTAATGAGATCACTGGCAGCATCATCAGTCTGCAACACCTTCAGTTGGCAACAAAGAGAAGTAGCTATGAAGAAAAGTCTACTTGGCCTCATCAAAAAGTAAGTTCCTTGTGGCAGTTCAAGGTTTTCTTTACAAGCCTCAGTCACAGTGGCAAAGTAGCAAGCCACAAGACGGTTTGATATGTTGCGCAACCACAGATGCGGATGCAAAAGCAACTCACAGATTGCTTCCCACAGATCCTATGAGATGTCGGTAAAAATAATAGTCAGAAAACAAATAAGAATTTATCCACAGAACAGGACAAGTTATTGGCAATCTGGAAATGGGAGTGTGGTAGCCGTGGAGCATACTTTCCCAGTACAACAATAACATACCTACTGAAATCCCACTAAGTGGGGTCAGGGGAGAGTAGAGTGTACGCAGTCCTTACCACTACCTCGTGGAGGTAGAGAGGCTGTTTCCGAAAAATCTTCGGCTCAAGTGCATCAAATCTAAGTAAAAGTATCATCTTCAAATTTAAGCCCAGTATACAATTCAAACTCTAAGCACTTGATTTTCAAATACTTCTTAACTTTACACCTAGTCTGTAGTTGCAATCTCTCTTTTGGCATGCTGCCTAAGTTTGAGGACCAAAGCAATTTCACTGAAGTGGTTTTAGCCACACCAAAAAGTAATTCATTTCTTAAATCTACCACAAAGCAAAATGAGGTCCAGTGGTTTTCACATAAGTCCCCTCGTACATATGCTAAGTTGGACATATTATGGATGCTTGGTTTTAGCTCTCCTATGTTTTAAGACCATAGCTAAAATAATGAAATACAGCAGCACTAGCACCAATGAAATAAAGGATAGAGAGAAAATATAGTAATTTTTTTCATTCTACAGAGACTAATATCCATTCTATAGAGGATAGATATAGAAGATATTTTATCTTTTTACATTCTACAGAAACAAACATCCAATATGTACTATAGAGTATCAAAACAATGCCTCAAAAGGCACTCAACCAGTTATGAATAAGTCTGGATGGCAGGCCAAACTTATAAATGCTCATATGTTGTTGTTGTTGTCTTATTTACAGAAGTAATCAGTTAGTACCTAGTAGTAGTCACTTTAATTTCTAATATGGATTAAAAGAAAGGGATAAATACCTCAAAATCCTTTCTGAAGCACAACTTAGGAAATTGATTTAATATCTTCTCAAACAGAACCAGTGAATAATATGCTTCTTTCCAAGATGAAATTGTTGCATCATTCGGTAGATCCACTTGCTTATTTGTAAGAACATTAACAGCAGATTGCAAGATGTTTCTCATAACAGGTAGAAGGCTATCAATATACTTTTGGAAACCATCTTTAAGTACTTCAATGAGTAACCCCAAAACCTGTAAAAGAAATGATGAAGTCTTGAAACATGTTTTTCTATTTTTGACGAGGAAGGAGTTATATCTCAGATTCATGACAAAATAATGAGGTCAATTTTTGTCCATTCTTCCGGTTATTTAATTCATAGTCCATAGATAAACGAATATGAAAAAAGTGAATGACATATGGAACTTGTAATCCTTCTTCGGTATTTCCAAACATGCTCCACGATGGCATAATGTAGTTGCATAAAAGAGTAGTTTGGGGTTTTCACTCTTTTACCTGTGCTGCAGCACTCCATAAATGTGGTTTATCTCCCAGATACCAGGACCGACTAAACTCAAGAATTGACTGGAGTGAGCGGGGGCTGACTCGTCCAACAAGTAACTTTATGACTGTACCAGTCATTGAACGGACTCTGTTGTCACGATCATTCGCCAGACAAACCACCAAATGCAGAAAAAACGTCTGAGATTGTTCATCTATGATGCTAATAGGGAATTTCATTATAACAGCATGAAGCATTTCAAGGATAGCTTCTCTTCCAGTTGAATGCTCATATCTGAAAAATTAAAAAACATCATTACAGAGATGTCACCATCTATAAATTTTACCAAATGAAATTATTGATTGTGCCCTTTATGTCCTTGCCTTAAGTTTGAAAGTAAGAAATCAAGATGTTGTTGAAGACGTTTCCCGGATATATGGTAGTCCAGTAAAAACTGCAACAAAATTTGGCTGCTTTTCTTACGAATTGATTCAACTTGACTAGTCACCATCAACTCTGCAACACGGTTAACTATATCATAGATTTCTGCAACTACCAACTTCCTACTCACTATTGCTTTCAACAGTGAGAGAGCCACAAAAGAGGGATTTCTTTCAAGATCAACAAAAAGAGGAAACTGGATTAGCATATGCAGTTGATCAGTAGAAAGTGTGATCTTAGTGCTTCGCAAAAGCACAGTTAGCAACTTAACGCAAGACTCCAATAATGGGTTACTGGAAGTTACTGAACCTTGAGCAATATTCAGTAATGAATGCTTTATCTTCTCTGCCTGAGATTCAAGAGATGGCAAAGGGAGCCTCACCAGAGGAGATAAGCACCTAAGTGAGGCAGACATGACATTCTCATATTTTGAGTTTAAGCATTCACCCAATAATCTTACA